GGGGCGATCTCTGTAGACTTTTTGTTTTAAGTATCCCCATAAGAAATAATCTAGAGGTGTAAGGTCTGGAGAACGAGGAGGCCATCGAGGATCGGTATTTCGTCCTAATCATTTATTACGAAATGTCCTATTCAGCTACTGAGAAACATTTCTAGTAGGATGATCAGGACATCCGTCATGTTGGAACCATAACTTTTGCCGTTCTTCTAATACCATATCATCCAAAAACCCTCCTATTTCAGTTCCCAAAAAGTTCAAGTACCTGTCACCATTCAAATTCTCGAGAAAAAAAACGGACCTAGTAATTTATTATTTGATATACCACACCAAACGTTTGTTTTCTGATAGTATTGATTTTTGTTGTGAATAATGAAAATTGGGTTGACATCTGACTACCATCTGCAATTTTGTGATGATAGAACCCCATTTGTTGTAAAAGTAGATTCATCTCCAAACAGAATACATCGATGAAAATCTTGTTGTTCTTCTATTTCACTCTGAATCCACATGGAAAACTCATATCTCAAATCATAGTCTCTTTCTTGAAATGTACAAATGAATGTAGGTTTGTAAGCATGGTACTTATATTTCTTGAGAATACGCTTCACAGAGGTTTCTTTTATGCCGGTATAATCATTAATTTCTTGGGTGGACCTTCTAGGATTTTCTACTACTGCTTGAAGTACGTCAACATAGTACTAGCAACATAGTACTAATTACTACTACAATTACCAAATTCTACGCGGGCGAAACCGCGGGCAACAACTAGTATAATATAAAAACAATATTTACCCTCTAAACGTTTATGTAAATGATGCATAGTCCCAACAGTGTTGAATTTCAAGTTTTGAACATGTTTTTTGTACTCTTCACACCGGCAAACTTGCATGATTAGTGACTTCTACATCAATTCATTCATAAATATACTGCGACATTTCGAAGTGACGTCCTGGTGACACTTCAAAAGAAATGTAACTTTCATCAAGTATTAAGTAAGTCTGAAAAATTCTTGCTCCCTGAGAGCTATTTTGGCGTGCACTGCCTATACCGTTGGAGTGCGATCCATTCTACGACTGACCTCAAAGAGCCATGAAATAAAAAGGCTTCCGGTGTGAATGGGCGGTAGGTAGTTAGGTTAGGTTAGGTCCAAAGTGAGTGGGTCTATTCGACCCTCCACCTATTCACACTCGACCAAATAAACCGAGTGAAAGTTTGCTAACCTGCTCATGGGGAGTTTGTTCCTCCACCTGAGACAGGTTCTGCGTACGCCGCTCAAGAATTTGGTGTAAGGGAAAGCCCAACCCTATNACAAAAATGTCGGTATATATTCTCTGTGTGTTTGGAAATAGGTCGTTGTAAAGTATAAAGTGATTGATGAAAGAGGCAGATGCGGTAGAATATCAAAATGTAGGTGGAGATAAGGACTTACCATGCAAATAAACAAATATTGGCAATAAAAACACTAGCCAACAAATAAGAAAAAAAAATTGCGACCAATATTATAATGGATGTACATCCTGACTGCGTCTTCAATATAAAAAAATTTCCATCACGTAAAGATTCTGATTTACATTTATTTTTATTTTCTACAAAAATTTTCATATATTATAGGGAAATATAAGATCAAAATAAGAAAAAAACAATGAAAAACACATGCAAATTAAGTCTTTTGTGCATAACCTTTTTGTAAATGTTGACTTCCGTTTATTTATGTTTTATCGTTTTCCCTAATAAGGAACCAACAATAATCCCCCATCATTGCTGCATCCCATCTGCCTTGGTAACGTTGCTCCATTGATAGTATGTCTTGGTGGAACATTTCCTCTTGTTCGTCACAGACAGCACCCAAATTTTCTGGGAAAAAATTCAAATGGGAGTGCAAGAAATGGATTTTTCTGGACATGCGACATCCAATTCTGCAGTAGTTTTCAAGTAGTTCTTCTACAGGTGTTTCGTAAAATTCTACATTCTTGTTCCATCCCAGACACCATTTGTAATGGGTCAGTCTCCACCACGGTTCTCAAATCCTCGTCCTGTAGTAGGTCAACCACTTCAAGGCTCATCTTCGAGGCTGAAATCTCTGAAACGAAATTTCGCAAACCAACGTTGAACAGTGCTTTCATTAACACCATCGTTGCCAAATGCCTGGTTAATTTTTGGGGCTGTTTTGGTAGCGCTTTCGTTCAATTTGAATTCATGGAGAAAAATTGGCAAAAAATCGAAATACAACAGGAAAGAGGCAAAAATTCAATTTTGGAATAAAACCAACAGCATGAATGTACAAAGTACAAAATTCTCTATCGAACACTATACACCATGACATCGTAGAATTCATATTTATTGAGATATGGAGCTACAGAAACACATGATATTAAAACGGACAAAACAACCAAATAAACCAAACTATTGTGCATCAGGATCCCAATTTCCGAAGATATTTTTGGATACTTTTATTTGTTGACTTTTAAATTCAGCCTCAAAAGACCCTTAACATTTTCTAAAATTGTTTTATTCGAAAATATTTTTCATAACTAAGAACGAAGACTATATGTGAAAAGTTTTCTTTCCTTGTGCGAGGAATTGGGCAAATTTCGGATATGCGGTTGGTTACCTCGTTCACAGGCAGATGGGGCGATGACAAACCTGTTGTTTGTTGTCCGGTTCAGCCCTGAAGGAATTCGATTTTCAATTATTGGAAATCATCGATTTTATGTTGATGAAAATATTAAAAAAAATAAATTTTCAAAATTCAATCTACAAACATCCTACATTTCCAACGGAAATTTAGGAAACAGATCATTTAATGCCAAACCTAAATTAGACAAAGGTTAATCTTCCTCTTTGAAGATGATCACTTGGTGATCGAAACACGTGTCGAGGTGTTAAAAATAACGATTTGGTGTTGGAAAAAAACTCCAGTAATAGTCATAATAATACTTAAGAGTAAAATGGTGTTCAAGTTATATAGAACAAATCTCAAAAGTTTTCGTCAACAAAACATGTCATTGACTCCATAATAGTTTTTTGAAATGGTTTTTTATGAACTATTTGTAGAGTGGGGAGGGTGAGTGTAGGACCTGAGAACTTAGGCCACATCTGACTCGTTGTACATCCTCCCGAGGAGTTTTCCTTCTAGGCCATCGTCCATCCTGTCCTTTCCAGAAAGGTGGATAGGTCACTTGGAGGCATCTCCTTTATATCGGTATACTATAACAATTTTCAATTGAAGGTGATTCATTAGCAACGTCGCACTTGAAGTGACCAACGGATAATCCTCTTACCAACTCTGCAGAGGCGTACCAAAATAATATTTTTATTTATTTAAACACATAGGTAATTACGTAAAAATTGTTATAGTAGGTGGCGCTACCTGGTGTCAGTGGTGAAACTGATGTATATTTTCTCATTATGCCTAATACAGTACTTCAAAAAAAACAGAAAAATTTACTAAATAATTATTATGTAGGTACCTTTTATATAGAAAGAGAAATACAAATCAAAGAAATAATTACCTATGTTATACTTATGAAGTTTCAGAATCCATTGACTCGTCCGAAGAGGAATCCTCAGTCACACTTAAATCTATTATTATTATTTGGTCGAAAACAGTGTCTACCATCCCGTCCAATCTCCACATTTTCTCTTCTTCCTTGATTACATGGGCTACACCATTAGCTCAATCTTCTTTCCGTATCCGTTCCATTACGAGTTCTAATAAACGTTGGACATCAGAAATTTTATATGTCACGTTTTCACGAGCTACGTAACCCTTACTCTGAGCCCATATTAATTCTATCGGGTTTAACTCGCAATGGTGAGGAGGAAGTCTCAAAATGGTGATGCCTTCAGCACGAGCTATTGTATCCACCACATGCTGGCGATATCTGTCACGATGCTGTTTAATGACACTCATAAGCTCGGCCTTAACCATGTCCTCGGAAAACAGAATTCCTTTTTGTCCTAACCAACTCTGCATGTCTGTTTTTCTGGTGGTCATAGTTGGCAGCTGTTGTACTAATTGGCTGTGATAAGAAGCGTTATCCATTACTATTGCCGAATTTGGCTCGACTCGTGAAAGAAGGGATTCAAACCATCCTTCAAAGCGTTGGGCGTCCATGTCTTCGTGATAATTCCCGTTTTTCTAGATAAAAAAATTAGTGCACTATCGTCTAAAAAGCTATTCTCGCTACCAATATGGGCGACAATTAGTCGTTGCCTTTTACCCGTTGGTCCGCGTAACCCTGTTGATGAACCGTTCACAAATGCTTGACGATAACTAGTTACAGGATTATCTTGCCAGATCTTAGAAACTGTGTGACCAACATTCACCCACGTTTCGTCCAGATAATAATTTTTTTTGTAAGCAGAACGCATTTCTCTAATAGAGCGAAGATATCTCCGTCGCCATGAGACTATATCTTCTCTTTCTATTACGACAGATTTACGGGATCGTTTGGCATATATGAATTTTAAATCTTATTTTATTATTTTTCTTAACTTCTCTTTGCTTATTTTTTGAATGAGATCATTATCCATTACCTTTGTCCTAATGGATTCGAGGGTTGGCGCTTTATTCTCAAAAAAGAAAGAATGAATGGTATAGCGTACAAAATTTTTCAGGTACTCGTCCAATTAAATTTTTTTTCCACGACAATGTACTTTTGGAGCTTGCACAATCCCAGTCACCTTTTTTCACGTATAATGCGTTTAATTGTCGACACGGATATTCCCGTTAAAAATGAACACAGGGCTACAGCTTCCACTGTACAGAGTGTACTTTTTAAATTTCCGTACACTCTACAGACAATCTGTTTTTCTTCTAACGACATAAACTTCCGCTTTCTTTGTACATTACTTGGACCTGCATCTTGATACTATATAAAATTCAATCATATTATTCAGCTATTTGTCAGTTGTTTACTTACCCAAAAAAATAGTTTAAAGTTAATGTAATTTTAAAAACACTTTTTTGTGAGATTTTCACTAGAACAGGTTAATAAATCCGCAACACGTGTTTCGCTGTACAGTAGCTTTTTCAAGCGTGTTCACTAACAAACTGAATTCTACATACATTATGATTTATATATACTTTTTGAAATATTACTATCTACCTAGAAACTAATAATATTCTAGGAACTGATTAATGACCGTTATACATAAGTTTAACGAACATTTATACCTGAGTTTAATTACTAGTTCAACTAATTATCTAAAATAAAGTGTGAATGTAATGAAAATCTATGATAATTTATCTTGAAAAACAAGTTTTGGCCAACTCTATCTTATATTTTAAAGTTAATAAATATAACAGTATATTTCATAAATATATTAAAATATATTTATTGAATATAAAACAAAGTCACCTTCACAAGAAACAGAATACACTTCGCCTATGCAGATGAGGATGTTTGATAATGAAGAAACCAAATGACTAGTTATGGCATTTTAAGTACGCAAAATATAATAGAGCAATGTTTAAAAGTATTTAAAGAACTGGTGCACCTATTCGCTCGTATATCATATCGATATGCAGAAGCTATCTTGTTACGGGGGGCAAATTTTATGGAATCATCTTACTTTTCAATTATTTACAATGGCGATGCCTATACAATAAAAATGACCCCGGTAAGAATTTACTTCTAACATTTAACATTGTTGCCGTTAGCTCTTAGTTCAATTTGTATATGAGTTACCTTCAATTGAAAATTGTTATACTATAGGTGTAGGCCAAGACTAGCTGAACACACACTCTCTTATTGATAATAACTTCGGACACTCGCATTGGACATTCCTGATAGTTTTATCTTCCTCTTCACACATCCTGCATAGAGGTGTGCTCACTAGTCCCATAATATGGAGGCGTTTCCTTATTTGACAGTGGCCAGTGAGAAATCCTATTGTTAGGCGTAGACTTTTCCTGGTCATCGCCAGATATTTCTTCGGCGCCAGCTTCCCATGGTCACCCAGGGTGATCCTGGGAAGCTGAACAAAACTTTCGAAGAAACCTAATCTGCTGAAATTACCCAGTAATTTTAATTCTTTTGTAGAGAATGGAAAGCTTTGGGATGTCAAAGATACCTCCACTACTGGTGGAGGTAACAAAAACTGTTGACAGACTCCATCTTGCAAAAACAATTTCTTCAACAAATTGGCATTTATTTCAACAATTTTTTATTGTAGAATCAGATTATACTGGTAAAAGTAGTAGAGCTCCTTCTGACGAACCGAAAGTGTCGTTAAGCCATCAGAATAGAACATTGAGTGTCTAGTTTTCAATGAGTCACCCGGTATGTAACACATAAACTGAATACGACAATCTACGACCGCCATTCTAATCGTGGCTGGCAATGTTTTCTTTAAAATTGCTTGGGTCGGATTTTCATTGTGTGATGTAAAATAAGATTCACAAGTGTTTAAATAGAAATACTCTGGGATAGCTAGTAACAACAAAATTCGATATGAAGATAAAGTCGTGAGCACGAACAAATTTTGTAATCTGGAGATCCCTGCTTTTTATTGATATCATAAACCAATAACACTTTATTGAATATTTGGAGTAATCGATAAGAACTAGTTTTCAAACTAAATTTAACAAAATTAATGTGATTGAAAGGAATATATAAATTACTGAAAAAAAAGTTTTTGAAGAGATTGTTATAAAAACTTCTATTTTGTTCTCTGCATAATTATACAGTGTCTAAAAGCCAAATGAAATAAATTTATTATTTCGGTTGCGGTACATATTTTAACAAAATCCCAAAACACGTCAAATTTAAATTATAATTTGACATACTTCATCGGAGAAATGCTACCCCTACCTTCACTCCCGTCATGTGGTTACTGAAATTCGATAAAATACCCTCAAAACTTATTGCAATATACTCAAAACCTTTGGGAAATAAAGTTTTTGGCTTTCTACTATTCCATTTTGATACAAAAAAAAGGATTAGGGAATCTTCCAAAGAAAGGAAGGAAGTGATCAATTTGAAAATAAGTAACTCTATACATGGATGTGTAGATCATGCAAAGAAGTAACTTTCAGACACAAACTAAAAGAAAGTCCTCCTGAAACAGCTACTTTCATATAAACATTGAATTACACGAAAGAAAAAAAATCTTTCGAAACAAATACTTCTATATGAACACTGAATGATACAGAAGATACTTTTCTCTACTCAGTTTGTATTTCAAACATTCGTTGTGGAATAAAAATCAGATATCATCCATATGAGTTCTACTTTAAATAAATGGTAACACATTGCACTTACATGGAACACTGTCATCCTCTCTGGTATACATCGATGTTTCGCCTTAATACACTTGCCCTAAGGCTCTTCAGTACCAAATTGGATAACATTATAGAAAATACATACATACGAATTTCGGTAACCACATGAAGGGGGTAAAGGTAGGGGTAGCATAAATTATAATTTAAATTTGACGTGTTTTGGGATTTTGTTAAAATATGTACCGTAACCGAAATAATAAGTGAATGATATCTGATTTTTATTCCACAACGAATGATTGAAATACAAACTGAGTAGAGAAAAGTATCTTCTGTATAATTCGGTATTCATATCGAAGTATTTGTTTCGAAAGATATTTTTCTTTCATGTAATTCAATGTTTATATGAAAGTAGCTGTTTCAGTAGGACTTTCTTTCAGTTTGTGTCTGAAAGTTACTTCTTTGCGTGATCTACATATCCATGTATAGAGTTATTTATTTTCAAATTGATTACTTCCTTCCTTTCTTTGGAAGATTCCCTAATCCTTTTTTTGTATCAAGATGGAATAGTAGAAAGCTAAAAACTTTCTTTCCCAAAAATTAATCACTTCTTAAAACATAACCCCTTCAATTCAAACTCAAAACCTATTCCATGTTGAGGTATTGATAATAAGAAAGTAAGCAAAAACCATAGCAATGTTCTTTTCAGATGGTATCCTTTAAAAAACTATAAATAATTTCCGTGGCAACGTTAGTTTAAAACGTCTTGTCAACTTGTTTTATTTGTTACAAAATTACTTGTTAGCATTTTGAGATTAAAGTTTGTTAACTTCAAGTCTGACAAATGGTTAGATTACCAGAAATGCGTAAAATAACAGTTTCCTGCAACAAATTAGAAAGCGATAACATTTTTGAAGAGAGAATGAAGATAACTTTCAAACGGTATGTCACAAACCTATACTTTTCATTTAAAAAATTGGGGGTTGTACCTGTCATGCGAAGGGGGTTGAAGGTAGGGGTGGCATTGTTACGTTGAAGAATGTCAAATTATAATTTACATTTGACGTGTTTCGAGATTTGGCTTTTATACACTGTATAAAGCATAAGAACCTGCCAACGAAAAGTAAAGGTCAATAATAAATATATATATATGCTAAAATATATAAAGAATTGAGTGAGGCTTTATTAGGCAGATTCTATTTTATTTTCTGGTTTTCGCGATTTTTGCTCATCATTCGTTTTGAGCAAATTTCTCAATATTTCGCAATGCTTTCTCTCTCTGATCCAACAGAGGAGGCAAGAATAAGACATGATAAGCTGTTTCTGTTCCTTTGTTGCATTGCCTGCAGCTAAGGTCTTCATTATATAGCCTCATTCCGATTGCTGAAAACAAATAACCCAAAGAAATGAAGAAATGCCGCAGTAATGCATTTCTTACTTAATAGTAAGGCTTTAGGCCATGTTATAGCCATGCAATTGCCCTAATACGAATATATATTCATGATGACATGGTCAAAGCTACATAAGACGATAACGTTTGATATTACTGGATTATAGTGAGGAAATTTCTCTTATCCATATTACAATACAAACCAAATCACAGATATCAAAACAGATTTGAATTGGTGATAGTTGTGAATGAAAGATCGACTTCGAAAGTGCTAGCTTCAGGAGTGCCATAAGGGCCAAATATTCATTATATAAGGTTTGTTCTGGTTCTACGTAATTCAGGTTCTAGGACGTCAGGATCATGCGCAGTTGATATAGAGCGTTCTGGTTTACTGAGGATTGATGAATCCTCTGTTAAGGTCTGTCTTGAACCATCCCGAACCGTTCTTGTTCTCGAAGCTGAACTGTTGAGAACTGTTCCCGTTGCTCATGCGCATTCATGTGGAAATTTGTTTGGGCTATTTTCTAGAATGGTTTTTCATTTATTTGATTTAAATAATTGATGATTGAGCCTACAAGGATATGCTACATAACAAAATGGACATGATCAACAGTATTTTCTCGTCATCATCTTTTCATATATACGATTGGTGGCACAGTGGTCTCCTCAAAATGCGTTCTGGTTTAACCAAGTGTCTAAGACTGTTTCGGACTGTTTGAGATTTTTTGCTTGTACGCATCATGTCTCGCGCACTTTCCAAATAGTTTCAGATGTTAGAACCAGAACAAACCTATAGTTTACGAGTAAACTGCCTAGTTGACTACTAACACCTAACATCTAACCTCCAAATCGAGACCAATTCATATTTTCATTTCTGTATGTTGGTGCGCCATAAAAATAATAACAATTAAGGACCGTAATGAAGTAATAGCCAGTGCATATTCTAAATACAATAAACAATGATAAGAGTAATAGTAATCGGAATTATAAATCTAGATTTATTGAAAATAAACCCGCTGTAATGTTATTAATGTTGAAAATATTGTTTTCAGAGACAGAAAGAGTTCGAGATATGATAGCAACCCTTAAATTGCCTCTACGCACGAGCACCGTGGAATGGAAACTCAAGCATTTGTATGAAGGCTGTGTGGATGTGGACACGCTCAGGGTTGAAGGAGAGAGGCCGCTGAAGGACATTATTAACGAACTAGGTGAGTAAACGTTTGTAATTTTGCTGACTATGAGAAACCTGTTGAGTCCTTCGCTAGCTGGAATTTTTATAGTTAACCTTATATAAATGAAATGCATAATAATCAGTTAATTACCAGTTTCTTATACTGGTACCGATACTGGAGCAAGATCGGACCTCTTCTGTGGAACAGTGCCGGCTACTGCTGACGCAATTTTCGGTACATTAAGTCGATTTCCTCACAGCAGGGGTTTTTGTCTGTGTGAAGCGCCTCATCGGTGTCCAACCACGGTCTTGAACGTCTGCTGTTGTCGTAGAGGATCCACTTTTCGTCACACGTGACGATCCGATACAAAAAAGAATTAATTGTTTTGGTTGCGCGAATCGTGGCACTTTCTGTCGATAGTTCGAACCGTGTGGCACCCACTTTTCGAGCTTCTTTACCTTTCCTATACGTTTTAAACCATCAACACCGCATGTTAGCTGACGCCCAGTTGTTCCGCCATCCGACGTACCGTTTGTGATGGGTCAGTCTCCACCAGGGTTCTCAAATCCTCGTCCTGGGTTATTGTAAGTCGACCACCCCGAAGCTCACCTTCGAGGCTAAAATCTTCGGAACTAACTTTCACCAACCAACGTCAAACAGTTCAATCATTAACGCTATCATAGATCTGGTAGAAGACCATTGTATCTCAAAATGGAGTGCAGTAGGTTTGCGAGGAATAAAATTCGAAGTCGTCTCCACAATTTGATGTCATCATCGGATGTTAGTACGATAAAACCATTGATTAGAACATGTTTCGAACCTATATAGGTTCATCATCAGCTAATATTTAAACTTCTACAATAAAAGGAAGAACAATGTAACAATAGTTGACACAATGCAGTATAAAGAACTTACCTTTCACGTGTTGTTAATAAGGGAATGGCAACAATGACATATTAATAATAATGAAAACATTTTTTATGGTAGAAAATGGAGAAATTTATCACATCATACTTCTCAATAATTGAACTATGGACGGTTTGAAGCCTTGATACCCACTCATTAACATCAAATACATCAACAGGTACATGAAAACGACTTATAAAGAAACTATCAGAAATTAATTGAATGAGAAAGGAGAATCAACTGTTAAAATTATATCAAGAAATAAAATAGAGATGACATGGAACAGTGACTAGAGATCCACAAACAGGGAACACAACAAGAGGAGAAACAACACATAGAAATCTACTCGTGTTCTGAGAAAACAGATCAAATACCTTCTATACGTGCCAAAGATGAGGATTTATGGAAGATTAAGGATGGTGAAATTTAGAGAAAAGAAAAATTTTGGCAGTCAAAGTGAACTTGAGATAATATAACATTAGGGTTATTAATAGCAGAATTAATTTCAAAAATTTCTAGTAAATTAAGTGGAGTTCCTTTTTGGCAGACATGTAAAATAACTATAGATCAGAGTCAATATCGAAACTACGTTTGTTGTTAAGAAAGTGGTTAGAGAATGAACTTATATAATCATTTAAGTGTAGGTTTCCAAAATTGTCAATTAATTCAACATGTTCAAGAACTCTTGTTTTAATTTTCCTACCACTTTGTCCGTTATACTGAGCAGAACAATTTGGTTGTGTACACGAAATTCTGTAAACGCCTGATTTGTGAGAGATTGGTACTTCATCTTAAGTATTGACTAACAATTTGAAAATAGGATTCATAGTATAAAATGAAACATTAATATCATTACAATAACCTCTGAGAATATTAGAAATATCATGTGAAACTCTACCTAAAATGGGAATGGAACAATTGGAGGTATTAGTAGAGATTAAACTACGATTAAGAAATTTAGTTCTGTGTTTGTTATAGATTCTATTGATTTGATGAGCAGAGAAACCATTATTATAACCTATTTGTCTAATTATATATTCAACTCTATATCGAAATTTTCAGGTGACATGGGAATATTAAAAGCAGCAAATTTATGAGAATATGGGTGGCAAGAAGAAAACGGAATTACTGAATCGGTATGAGTAGGTTTTCTATAAATTGAAAATTCAAGTTTGGAAACATTAATGTTGATCAATAAATCTAAGGAAGGAAGAGAGTTGTCTTTTGCTAATTCCATAGTAAATCTTATAGAAGGAGTTAATAAAATCTAATAGAAGGTTTACTTCTTGATAATTACTGTTAAAAAGTACATATCAGTACCAAAACAATATTTGATTGTATAAAGGAAAAGGTTGGAGGTTATGTTCTAAATCAGCCATGAAAATCTCTGCTAAAAGAGGGGACAAATTGCTACCCATAGCTAGACCGGACTTCTGTGAAAAATGTTCATTGTTGAACTGAAAGAAATTTTGTTGTAAAAGAGAGAACATAAATTGAGGGCATAGAATGATAAAATATCTGTTTAAACTAAATAGAAACTCTCTGACTAATCTAATGCAATCTTCAGGAGGGATACTAGGGAACAAACATCGAGAGACAACAGAATAGAATTAGGTTGTACAACTAAATCTTTGAATTTTTGAGTAAGATCAAAAAAGTTTAACAGAGAACGAGAATTATTGAAAAAAGGAATGCCTTTAATAAGTGAATTTAATCAAGAAGCAAATTTGGAAGGGGGAAATGCAATATTGTCAATATAAACATTTAAAGTAATCTTCATATGATTGAAAAACTTATTGGTATGGTCAAATGGCCAAAATAGTATCAACTATTGTTACATTGTTCTTCCTTTTATTGTAGAAGTTTAAATATTAGCTGATGATGAACCTATATAGGTTCGAAACATGTTCAAATTGATGGTTTTACCGCACTAACATCCGATAGTAACATTAAATTGTGGAGACGACTTTGAGTTCTATTCCTCGCAAAACTATCATAGATGCCTGGTTAATTTTTTGGAGTTTTTTTTTAAACCTAATATTGACATGTTTTTCAAAAACAACCAGTAAACCTTCAGTTTGTTTCATATTCATTGGGGATATTACCTAACACATTGAGAATATTTGCTTTTTTAAAGTCTTACGTGACTAATTATTCATACTGATGTTGAAGTCGCATTTTATATTGCAGTATTCCACCGTATTATTAATTAGGCTGAGTTGAAACAGGGCATTCATTCATTGCACGTTCCTTCTTGGCCCATCATTTCTGTTTCTAGTTTTTTCTTCCGTTTTTAGATGAATGATAACATATTACTTGTACGCAAAATACTCGCAAGTCAGCCTTGTATTTGAAGCCATTACAGCTGTCAACTTTGAACAGACGAGTTTGTTCAAAACCACAGCCTCTTGCTCAACCGAATGAACTATCTGGATATAAGGGGTTTATTGTTTTTCAAGAATTTGTTATACTTCATAAATACTGTTATACAGGGTTGGCCAAGTTAGGGTTATAAACGAAAATGGCTCTGACACGACGTATTTTTATTTTGCGGGGAAAATCTTTGGAGCATATTTTCAATCTTATCACTTCAGCCTCCCATCGTTGGGCTGCGTGCAACCGTTTAATTTTAAATGAGGTTAGGTTATGCGAGATTAGGTTAAGATAATCTCAAATGATGTTAGGAATCTAGTGATAACTCGTTTGTAAAGTCATAGATGTCGATCTTCAACGGTACCTAGTTGGTGAAATAGATATCGAAAAAAACGTTATAACAAATGTACCAAAAATGCTTTTTACACTTCAAAGACTATCTGTATCTTATGCGGTTAGCACAGTGTACATCAAGAATTCATCAATTTGTTCACATCCTATATAGTAACAGTAGAATAATATAACCAGTATGCTCTCTTACCACGTGATCCGGCCGAGTTGCTGGGGACCTTCAATCGCTCTTTTCTCATCCAACGCGTTCAGTGCTGTAGTATCGAAGGATTCGACGGTACAACGGGCATCGAATTAGTTATAATAAACGGTCGGGAATTGATATTGTATTTGGTTCATTCGCTGTTTTCATTATTGTTTTCAGTTTTTGTAGTTGGTTATAAGTAACTTACCACAAAATCTTCTATAATATCCTTAAATTTCGTTTCTTTATGAGCGCATGCCTATGGTAAAAGAACGAAATTGGTTCCGCACTTCGTTTCGAGGTCACCGAGAATTTTGTGAATGAAAGTGGAGGGAGTGGACTTACTGGTTGATTTTTACTGTTCTAGGACTACATGATAAGCAGAACGAGATAGTAATAAGGAAAGCCGATAAGAGTTTGGAATTTGATTTGAGTTCTGTTCAAAAAATAAGGTGAATGTTGATATTTTGCGGGCTACGTACATTGAGTCAGCAATTTTTTTCAATTGGTACACTCGTCTCGAGTGTAAATGATATAATGTGACAGTTCCTACCATTACCCACAACAAAAAATGACGGAACTACATTTTCTTCCTCATAGGCTGGTCACTTTCCCCTTGGGAAAAGAAAAGATATGATATGGAGAAATATTATCAAATTGAATGTGAAAATTACTTTCAAAACCGCTCGTACACTTCAGCAAGACAAGACGTCATAAAAGAAAAAGTATGATTCACGAAATAAGCCTGTGAGGTTTACGATACAAAATATGTTGGTCAAACTAAGATGGATATGATAGCACGCTATGAGGAACATTTTTCACATGTTTCACAGATCAGAGAAGTCCAGTATTCCCCTGGTGTTCCCCGGGATCTATATTGTCTCCGAACCGGATATAATAATGTCAGGTCAGACAATTCCACTTTCTGCCTCGATAAGTTTGTTGGGAGTTTAAATGGACAACAATATGTTTTGGCACAACCATGTTGCTGGAATTGCAAAGGCTGCTTCTCAAAATACTGTTTCGAACCAGAAAACTGTACAAATCATAATAACTTTTGATGCTTTACGAGTATAGAGCTCAAATCAGACATTCTTTGGAGTATTGTTTACATGTATGGAGCTACGCCCAAAGCATACCCTGAAGCTTCTGGATTCCATACAGAAAAGAACCATCCGCTTGATTGGAGACACGAACATCTCTTGAAACCTTGATAATCTGGTGAAGAAAGGTTTGAGATTTGTCTCCCTTCTATATATACTTTCACGGGAGGCGTTCGAGTGACTGGGCACATTTGATTCCACCAAAAGTTCATATCAAATGAATTTAACCCCCAGCGATGCAAATTCAAAATGAATCGCTACTTTCGAACAGGCACCGTTCTTTGAGCCTGAGTAAGAATAGGTAATGGCATATCTCCTAAGATGTTTTCTCTTTTACCTAAGTAAAGTGTTCTGTTCGGGTGTTTTATGTAACAAATATCAATTCACTGTGTTATATGAACATTTAATTATTCTTAAGTGAGATGCAGTCTAACAATCGTTCGGAAGAATTATTCTCGAGTTCTTTCCTTAGTGATAGCAGAATTTGTCCATCTGATAAATGTTTACCAGCTAGCCGTAGCAGACTTTCATAGCGTTCTTCTTGTCGTTTCTTCAGCGTTTTGAACGCCGGGCAGTTGACGAAAGCCTAAAAAATATGCAGGTTCAGAAGTTATTGAATGGTTATACAAAGGGCAATGAGGAAAGTTCCCACATTTTAGTGTTGTTCAATTCAGAGCAATTTTAGTTGAGACGGGCACATTTTCTCACAAATGCATGACTGGATCTGAAAAAAGAAATAAATAATTTTTCAAACGAGATATCAAAAACAATACTGTGATGCCCCGGCCTCCATATCAGCCAGACATGGTCCTGTGTGACTTTTTCCTATTTCCAAAAATAAAAAAACTTCAAAGAGCCGTCGTTTCACAAGCATATATTATATTCAAATCAAGTTTATGAAGTGTTTCGGAGATTGACTGTAGGCTGAGTGTAGACCCATATCACTTAGGCTACATGTGACCCATTCTACATCCTCCCAAGGAGTTGTCCTCCTAGGTCATCGTCCATCCTGTCCTTTCCAGGAAGGTGGACAGGTCTCTGGGAGACATCTCCTTTATATCGGCAGGTGTAGGCCAAGACTCGCCGAATTTATACTCTCTTATTGACGATGACTCCGGATATTCGCAAAGGATATGCCTGACAGTTTCATCTTCCTGTTCACACATCCTGCATAGAGGTGTGTCGACTAGCCCCATATTGTGAAGATGTTTCCTCAGTTGACAGTGGCCAGTCAGAAATTCTACTATTGAGCGTAGATTTTTCCTGGTTATCGCCAGATTTTTCGCCAGCTTCCCAGGGTCGCCCAGGGTGATTCTGGCAAAATTACATTCTTTGATTTCATCCCATCTCTTTAGGGATTGAACATGGGTGTGACGTTTAGCTAGTTCCGCAATTATCGAAGTCATCAGGCCGTAGGTGCCACTGTGTCCTAAAATTATTAGTCCAGATACTTCCTTGACTAAAGAGTCGGTAATGTGATTACCTTTACTCCTGTCGTGTCCTTCAACCCACCTCAGGATAATGTTATTATCTACCGAGGCCTTGGCTAAATCTTGGTGGCACTCTAGTACTATCCCTGAGGTAACACGTTGTCTGTTCAAGGCTAATAGGGCTTGTCTGCTATCATTGCAGATTGTTATGTTTTTGTCAGAAATTCCTTTCCTGGTTATTTCTTTTGTGGCGATTGAGATACCAGCCAGTTCTGTTTGGACCACGCTGGTATTTTTTCCATTCCCCACTTATTCCTTAGGCTCAGTGATCTGGAGTACATTCCACATACTGAGCCTTCTTTGGTTTTTGAGCCGTCTGTATTTATGCGTATTGCACATGTAGCATCTGACTCAGTATTCTGTTTTAATTGTATTTTGTAGGGTTTATTAAACACAAATCTGGGTTCAATTGCTTCACTGGTTGCCTGCAGCAGAGGTTGCGCATTAAGTGCTTCTCGCCATAGACTCAGTCTCAATTGACCCATTCCTTCTTCGAGTTTTACACCAGCTGTGCGCAATCGTAACATGGCCATTAACGCAGCCTCCTTAACGTACAGGTCCAGAGGGGTCAGACCAGTAATTAATTCCATTTCCGCGGTTGGTGTTGTTTTCATGGCTCCTGTGATGTTTGAAGAAACCAGTCGCTGTATTTGTTATAATTTTTGGATGGCCGTTGCTTGTAGAACTTTCGGTTCCCATGCAATGGCTCCGTATGTTAACATAGGTCTTACTGTAGTGTAGATTCAGGTGACCACACGGGGTGAAAGACCCCATGCGCCTCCCACTGTCCTTCCACATTTCTCATAAGCCACATATGCTCTTTTTGCTCTACTCTGTAGGTGAGAGTTCCATGTTAGCTTCCTGTCGAGGATGGTACCAAGGTATTTCACCTCTTCAGGGAAGTTCAGTTTGCTTTTGAAGATTTCGGGAGGTTTTAAGCCCGATAGATAAACTTCTTTTCCAGGTGAAAAGAACCATCTCAGTCTTCTTGGGATTGATCAACAGTGTGTGTTCCCTACACCATAATGCGGACTATTTTGAAGGCGACACGAATAATAACGAAAATTAAGTGTACATCTGTACATACATTGTGTATATACTGATGTGTGAAAATCTGCCAGTCTCGAAACCAAATTAGTTCTGCTTTTGGAAACAGAATTATGCGATAAACAATTAGATATATTTATTTATCAACGTATAAACTTCAGTTGATGTTTTATTGACTTACTTTTAATTGATCCAGCGATGCCCTGCTAGCATCATTCATGCACACATAAAAGTAATTGACCATTTTCGCAAACTTTGCATCGTTTTTACTTTCCTTTTCTAAATAGGTGTCTAGTTTGTCGAAAAAGTTGAGAAGGTCTCCGCTTCCCGAAAAATAAAAATCGTATACCTTTTCCTTCATGCCATCTTTGATTAAAATAAATTGTTCACAGCCGCTGGCTAGTTTTTCCATGGAGTCGACGCCTACATTTTTCACAATGCTTGCCGATTCTGAAATAAAACTCATTTAGATTCTCAGATGAATCTGGTGTAGGTTAACTATACACGTGAGAACAATAAAACAATTTGATAATCAACACTCTTGTAATTTCTACATGTATTTCTACATGTATATCAGACTTAATATGAAAGATAAGTCAATGAAACACATTTCACAATAACTGAGAGATGTTTATTTCATTTGTAGTTTTTTGGAAAGAATGGAGTCGATATGTCTACCTTATAACCGTTGTTAATCGCGATTTGTTAGAAGAAACTCAGCTCTCTGAGGGGGAGAAAAATAATTCAATAAATTACCTTGATTTAACTATCACCAGAGTTAATAATATATATGATTTTGCAATTTTCCACAAACCATCTCATACGGACATTATCATACATGATTCCTCCACATACCCTTACCAGCATAAAGTATTTGCATTCTATAGTATGCTTCATATACTGTTGAATTGTCGGATAGTAATTTCAATCAAATAAATACCGGTCAACAACAGTTATAAGGTAGATATTCTCGACTCCACTCTTTCCAAAAAACTACAAAAGTAAGCCATGGACAAGGTCTACCCAAATCAAAATACGATAAAGTCAGCTATATGTCATATTTTGGTGAACCCTTTAATAATATCCCTCTTTTATTGAAAAAAAGAATGCGTAGACATAGCTTACAGAACGACTAATAGTCTAACTAAATTTACTAAAATTTCGGTGTCGGATAGATCAGGAGTATATAAGCTGACTTGTGGCTCTTGCCTAAAACAATATACTGGCCAAACAGGGAGAACATTTTCCCAAAGAAGTAAAGATCATAGAAGTAGTTTCGTAAATAGAAAGACCAATTCCACATTTGCAAATCACCTTTAGTAGAAGGACATGACTTCAATCATGAATACGACGTGTTACATTCAGAAGTGAAGAGTTTGAAACTTGATCTTCTAGAATGTCTTGAATTCGGGTAATTAACTGAATGACCAATTAGAATTGAACAACTTCCTGTTACTAAATATTTTTTCAAATGACTATACTTGAACTCAAGTATAGTCGAAGTAAACGATATTGTGGACTTAAAGTCCACGTGGACTGTAAACTTGGCGGTTTTTATTGGATAATTTTTACTAACCGAATTTTATAATTGGCTGAAAAGTCATAAAATTACATTTGAAGTCATGTTACGCTGACGAATAGAAATCGGAAATGTGGGGATGGTTATCGCCGTCGTGTTCAGTTCAGGAACTGATTGCGATTTGAGTGTTGAAATCCGATATTGGTGCAGTTATAATTACTTGAAATTTTTGTTTTCTGTTTAAAATGTTACCTCCTTGGACAAGTACTAATATTAATAACGAGTGTGATAACAACGCAGACTACTTCCAGTGTAGTGATTCTAATAGGGATGGTAAACAATGCGAAAAAGAGATACCAGTGAATAAGGTTCGGATGCATTTGTATATTGAAATACAGAAAGTATGTTTCAATGTATATAAGAAATTACATCTCAAGTTTGTTTTCGAGAGAAAAAAACTATTATAAGCAACATCAGATTTGACCGAAATTTATGGAAAGCATAAGAAGAGTGGAATTGTGTGACAAATAGAACAAATATTCAAATATAGACAAGAACAACGGCAAATTTTTTATTTGGACGAAACTTTGTATGACACGACACATTTACGAAAGGGTGGACTGATGGTTAGAGAATGTGTACGCCTAACATGTCTGCAAACAAAGGATCGCGACTAATCATTGTGCATTGCGGAGGAAGTGAAGGATGGGTTTCGAATTTTTTGAAATTATATGGACAAACATGGAAGGTTATATTTTCCAGGGATGGTTTCAAAACACATTGATCCCGAATTTGGATGCGAATAGTGTGATAGTTCTTGACAACGCTTCCTATCATTCGCGACAGCCCATCAAAGTACCGAATAAAAATTCGAGGTAAGATGGAATACAAAGTTTTCAATGAATAACAATTTGTATTTTGAAGATAACTATACCGAAAACCAAAGGCGAAAACCCACCAAAAAAAACTATAAATTTCTGCAACCGGGCCAAACCATCACAGCAGAGCCCAGCAGCAGCCAACACTGGTCAACAGAAGAGGTCCGATTCTGCTTCACGGCAACGCCCTTCCGCATGTTTCACAAATCACCGTCCGAAAATTGAACGAATTGAGCGTGAAAGTTCTGCCCCACCCACGATACTCCCCAGAGTTCTTGTCAACCATCTTTCCAATGATAATTTTCTCACAAGTTGAACCTTCGCCAATCAGGACCAAGCGAAAACGGCCTTCGTCAACTTCATCAATTTTTATACTCACGGAATTAGTCGACTTTTGTTACGTGGTCATGGGTGCACTGATTCAAATTGCGCTTATTTCGATTGAATTAAATGATTATTCACTGATACATTACATTAAAGTAGACCAAACTTTTGAAACATTTGATAACATTTCCACATTCTAACCTTATTTTCAACATACCTGAGATATGTAAACAGCAAATGACATAAAACAGAAATAACTGGAATTTAGTAAGTTCCATGTTGAATGCAAATAAGGATCTTAAAAAAACTGAACTGAATGTATTGTGCTGATATAATTTTCTAATTACTACTGATTCGGTTTCAATATTTCGACACTTGATTTATTGCCGATGAGATAAAATGCGCCGAACTCGCAAATATTACATAAACATTTGAAAGATATCCAATTTCAACGAAAGAAATATATATTTTTATAACATATCGGATATCTTTTCGTAAACAGCTTATGATAAAACTCTTTTTTTAACACGCTTTTATTAGCTTCACCTGTATGTATGTATGTATGTTTGTTTGTTTGTCAGTTTGTTTGTTTGCTTGTAACTCTCCTTTTCATTTCATATTCATTCCCGTTTGAATGCTCGGGATCTGTATTTGACAGAATTATCGACATTATTGCTTGATCTATTCGCGGGCAGATGGCGCTGTATGTACCTTCCTTGATATAATTCGAATTCACTCTACATGTATTTCTTTATTTGAAAGAAGTATTTTTTTTTTCAACACGCGCGCCTGCCGCCTTATTTGTAATTTTTTTTGCGCGCCTGCTGCCTTCCTTGGGATTGGTAGCTGATTTTCAGGCTCCCTCTCCGGAATCGGAAAATATCAGTGGTCATTTTTCTAAACAATATACGGCTGATTGATCCCAAAGTTTAGATAAAATAAATATAAAGGTTGATTATCTGGTAAGAATATATCAAGTAACGGGGAGCTATTCAACTCAACTCGATCGTTCATTAGATATTGGGAATTTTCCCAACTATTGATTTCCATACAGAAGTTCAAAAGTTTATTCTGGAAATGGGGATCTTTGAATCAATGATTGAACCCATGTCCCTCCGGAAGGATGTGAGTAGCATACGTTGAGTTTATTTGTTTCTATGTTCCTTTATGTGTGATCAAAATGTTTGACCTATATAAAACATCGGATATTAACCACAACACAATTTGTACACTCCTGATGTGTCTGACACCAAACTTTTGTCGTTTTTATTTTCATAATGCGTGAAAACCACATAACATGCATCTTCAAATTATTGTGTTTTTCTTATAATTTTTATCATTGGAAGATTTTTTCCTATTTTTTCACCTATATTTGCCTGCTTTTACTAGTTAATGGAATGATTGTCCCCGCTCCTTTCAGGCATTTGAAACTAGAACAGAGTGAATTATCTGGTCTGTTATGTTATCGTGCATGGTCGGACCGTAAATTAAAGTGAAATGATGTTTTTAATATACATGGTGTTTCTTAACTACGGTACGAAAATTCAGAGGGTGATTCGTTAGATCGTCAGATCGTTATTAAGTTTATAATAAACCGTGAATATCTTCAATATCCTGACGCCGATTTGGTTGGCATTTGCTACAGTTATTTGAAGTGATAAGGCGCTTATTTAGCCCGAACTAGTTTGAAATTATTACGTCCCGTGGTTTCTCAGTGAGCACCACAAGCAAAAATATTGTAATAAAAAAAGAACGCCACTGACTTTTCAGTAGTTTTTTATTTTTTCAGATTAAGCAACTGAAAATACAACTTTGTCGTCGCTTGTGTTTTCTTCATACCAAGCTTCGTTATTGAGAAAAAAATCACTTCTAAAAACTATCTATGGACATAAAATAAAAACCAATAGTAAATAATAAACAATTCCAACCTCAAAGTAAATGAGTAAAATGTCCACCTTCTGATAAACAAAGACTGCAATCGATTTGTCATTGATTGTCTGACACGTTCAAAAATACCTGTCAATTACTCGATTCCTCAAGTCATTTACATCTCGTACAAGAGTTTTATAAACGAAAGCCTTCAGATGACCCCATGAATATAAATCTAGAGGATTCATATCAGGACTGCGAGCTGGTCAACTTTGAGGTTCCGCACGTCCAATCCAGCGACTAGGGTAGGTGATGTCGAGATGCTGACGAGCATGAACACTGATATGAGCTGGAGCCCCGTCGTGCATAAACCACATGTTGCCTCTTACAAGTACCGGCACTTCTTTCAACAAAATGGGTGAATGATTTCGCAAAAAGTCCGTGCAGGATTCAAATGTTAATTTTGCTGGTAGAAAAATGGGCTAATTAGGTCACCAATCATTCCTACCCAAACGTTCAGCGAAAATTGTTGCTGAAAATGACTTTCTCTAATAACGTGCGGATTTTCGTTGGCCCAAAAATGGTTATTGTGAAAGTTCATAATAGCATCTCGTGGTACTATTTGAAGGATCTTCTTCTTATAGCATCAAGTATAGCTTCTTCTTGCGTTGTTAGTTTCTAGTGTGATCCTTCTCAATGATCCTTCAAACTTCCGTCCTATATGTCTCATTCTCAGTCTAGGCAATCTAATAGAGAAACTGATCAAATTAAGTTTGACAATTTTTTTAAATAATAATAGTGTCATAAGCAATAACCAGTTCGACTTTCAATCAAAAAAGAACATCCATGATGCTATCTTTATGAATTCATTAATAAAAAAGAGTCATCAGCAGCAGTGTTCTGTCAATTTGCTAAAGCCTTTGACTGTATAGATCATGGAATACTGCTGAAAAACTATATCACTATGGCATCCGTGTAATTACTCACAAGTGGTTCGAGAATTATCTCACAGGAAGAAGTCAGATTGTGAAAACCTCATCATCCTCATCAGAAGACGAAATAAAAGTGGCGTATCTCAAGGTTCAATACTGGGACCGATACTTTTCCTGCTATACACAAACGATTTAGCATCTATCGATATAAAAGGAAAATTTACCCTATTCGCTGATGACACCACAATATTGTGGCGTGATGAAACTTTATGTAATCTCCACGAGAATATAAGTGCAGATTTAAAAAAATAAAACCCACAATAAAAAGCTAGCTTCAGGGTGTTTTGCAGTGAGAATAACATATAAGGATCTTGGTTTGTCTGCCGCTAAATTGCTTTATTTCTCACTTGTTGAGTCGCATTTAAGGTATGGAATTCCTTTCTGGGGAGTATGTTGCAAAACTCAAATGCAGACGGTGTCTATTATTCAGGGCTATAAGATACATGTGTAATGCCAAAAGTCGAGACTCCTACAAACCCCTATTTGAAGTTCATAAAATCTTGTCACTTTTTGGAATCTTAATTTTAGAAACAGTATGTTTAATTAACAAACATACATTGATATTTAGCGGTTACTCCAATTATTATGCCCTTCGTCAATCTGACGACCTAAGATAACCCATACCAGCCTCTACTCTAGTCAAAAACTCTATATATTATAATGGTCTCAAGATGTTCAATCATTTACCTGACCATATTAAAATTTTAGAGAATAACTGTGTATTTTGAAAATCAGTAAAAGACTTATTATGTGGTAGACCCTATTATAGTTTAGAAGAGTTCTATGAGGACCGCTTTCTCTAATTTATTTTATCAACTGTATTTTTTATTAAACAAAGTATGGTATACTGCATTTGAACATTTTAAA